TCCTCCTCCTCTCTCTCTCTCTCTCTCTCTCTCTCCCTCCTCTCTCTCTCTCCCCCCTTCTTTCTATCGATCGATTTGTTCGTCATATTGCGGAGGTCGTAGCAACCGATACCAACTCCGCGAAGCGGCCGGTACGCCCATTTCCTTCACGACTTTCTTCTCAATCTCGTACTCGATTTCTGTTTGTGCTTTCCTGCTTGTAAGCTTTCTTGAGCGCGCCCACTACTTTTTCCTCGACTGCGTGCTTGCCCTGGTTGTTATTGACGTGACGATGACCACAATTTGATACATCAGCATGGAAATCGTCGTCAACAACTGCAATCTCTTGGGAATGTGCATCGCGCAGTCCGGGGGTTGATGGTTTTGTTCGTAGCTCTGTTGGGACCAGCATGGTTCGTTTGATTGTTACGGGATCTTATTGTTGATTGATAATTGGATGAGCTTGTCGTTGGGCCGAAATTTTTGTGTCTTGTCAGGAAGGGTTTCATGTGTTGGTGTGTTGTTTTCGCGACGCCAAGGGTCGTGGGGATGTGGTTCCTGTTGTCCGGTTAGAGTTGGTTATTCATACGTGATTGTCCACTCCCAAAAATTTTAGTTTGATTGGTCTCTCGTGTTTTCCTGCTTACTTTTACTTGTATAAGGTTTCAGATAATTAAGAATAAGAAAAATGACATTGTTTTAACTATTTACAAGGTCAAATAACTTTGTATTTAGCTCACATTTATGGGTTCTCATTCATTCTACTTGGAACACATGTCTATCTCCAGGAAACTTTTGCACATAGATTATATTACTCTTGTACGCATCGGGAAGAGAGGTCTAAATCTAAGGTGATCTAAACAATTTTCCTGAGTTTATGTCAATATTTGGCCTCTTTTTCTTGTAATTTGTGCCGGAATGATAGGTTTCTATTTTTTCCTATTCAATGTGTTGACAGATGGGTACTGCTGGAATGAACTATATCGAAGACCATGCTGCTGCTGAGGTGCTTTCTGATCAGTTACATTCACCAGATTCCCCTTGCAGAAATGGTATTTATGATGAACCACTGATACGTCCTCGCCTAGGAGATCAGCACCAAGTGCAGATTCCAGAACTAGCAACACAGTCATGCCTGATTAGTACCAGAAACATGCTTACTGTTGACTATCATGTCGGAGTAGGATCAGCCATTCCAATTATGTGGATGCACCATGTAGGTGATGTTACCGAAGATGAACAGAAAGAATTTTCTTGTTCTGACATTAGTTCCATTAAGGGTGGGTCAGTGGCGCATACAAACACTGGAAAAAGCCAAGCTGATCCTGGATATAAGACTATGAGTCAATTTCCAGCAGAAAGTTCAAGCGGCCATTCTACGTATCTTCTAAGTCTTGCATGCACAGATGAATGCACTGACTTAGCAAATTGTTGCGGGTCTGATGGATCTACAACAACGAAAAGCATTCCCTTAGAGAATAAGATACATAGTGGTGCTCCTCTGCTGCAGCATAATGAAGCCAAAGGTTACAATCCATCGCCTGGCATGCCATCTTCCTCGTGGAGTGAGGATGAGTCACAAAGTTTTCTTCTTGGTCTTTATATTTTTGGAAAGAATCTTGTTCAAGTGAAAAATTTTGTTGGGTGTAAGAAGATGGGAGACATACTGTCTTACTATTATGGAAAGTTCTACAGATCTGATGCATATCGTAGATGGTCAGAGTGTAGAAAGGTAAGAAGCAGGAGGTGCATTCTTGGACACCGTATCTTTACTGGATGGAGACAACAGGAAATCTTGTCACGTGTACTACCTAAAATACCAAAAGAAGTCCAAGATTCTTTGTTGGAGGTATACTTTTACTGTTTCTATGTTCATTGCTGACAAATTGATTGTTACTTTTAGATTTTTAATGTGTCAAGGGTTTATAGTTGAGAAAGTGCATTAGCTAAACTGATGTCCATATGTAGCAGCAAAATATTATATATCCTCAGTTCTTATTCCTCACTGCATTATCCAAGGAGGTTTTATAGTGTTAGATGCAAAGAAAGTTCTTGTTGGTATTTGTGTTTCTGGAGTATAAAGAAAATCCTTCCTGAAATTTGTGTGCTAGAGTATAAAGGAAGTTCTATAAATGGCTAAATTCTGTTAACATCAATGTCCTTGTGTAGTTTTGTGCTTATCTGGAAACTTCATGCCCATATCCACTGGGAGACTAGAGAATCAGAAAATGAAAAACACTGAAATTCTGGTACCTCTATTATAACAATTAGATTTTGGAAAGATTGGCTATTAGAATATAAGCTATCAAGGAGGTACTTGCTAAAATATATGAACACTACATTATGGATTTTACAACCAAATATGAACCAGTTGGGTTCATGAAAGTTAGTTAAGCTACTATTGGCATAGATTAATTTTCCTAATTCCATCTACTTCACTGATCCATATTTCTCAGTCATGATTTTGCTCTTGGGTGATATGATTATTTTAAGCATGACTGATTGTGCAGAATCTTAACAAAAGGTACTAATATTAAAACAGGATAAAAACATATTAAATTATTAGTGAGACAACAGCTTATGCAAAACATAAGGAGAAATAGATAGTTACATAATAAACTCTGGCACATTAAGAATGTAGGCATAAAAGGAACTTTTTTAGTTCTGTTAAGAATTAGCACTTTTCCCAATCAAGTGGAAGCAAATTTTAACCATTGGATCCACATGTTGGTGCCTTGATAATGTTGATGGTGGTGAGTCAGGATTGGAAGTGATTGAGCTAAATTTGAGTTTTGAGATTGGATTGTTTCTTATTTTAGAATTGAGATTTCATTAGATTATGTTAGTTTGATTTTCAATTTTTGTTTAGGAGTCTATTCCTATTTTGATTGACTAACCTGGTAAATAAGTCTAAATTCTTAATTTCTTTTTGTAGAAGAAAGCTATAAACTATAACTTTTAAACCTAAGTTGTTTATTTCTGACAAAGCTGTGAACTGGCACTTGGAATAGCTAGAAAACGTTTCATTTCTATTCTTGCCAAACAGGCCTTTTCCCATAAAAGATGATCCTCTGTTGTTTCTAGCTTCTCTTTCCACCTCATATCCACAATTCCTTGATTTGAGAACTTTGTCCCGCCCACCAACTCTCTCCAGTTATCTAATATTTTCCTCTTATCTCCACCATACAAGTCAGAAAGCAAGCCAGAATCGAAGTGAAGTGAACTGATACAAGTTATTGAATAATTCTTGTTGGTGAAGTGAACTGATACAATTTAAGATTTATCAGGCTTGGGATATCAAGGTAGTTTTAGAAGTTTTTGCTTCTTTTGGTCATGAATCAGCACACAGACAGCTCGTAAGTATATATTGATCCCAGCGAAAATCAGCACATGGATCATCCAATTTCATGCGGTCCATGTGTGATACTACGCTTATCGCATGGTGAGCCTTGTGAACTAGAAGGGAAACTCACTTTCTTTTTTATAATATTTTTTTAAACCCACTTGCTGTTTACATTGATAGCGGGCATATCATCATGTTGCATGTTGTATTGTCATGTACTTATATAATATTGCCTAACCCAGGTGGCATCCTTGCCTTGTATAGGATCAACCTCCCCATAATCTTCTTATGGTCATGTAGGACCTACACCACTAAAAAAATAAGTTAGTGACAAGCGAATGTACTAGTGATTCACCATTGCTTTGTCAAAGCATGTCACACAAGCATAACTAGACCTAACACTTTATTAATAATAGAAAGTGTATGCCTTCGCTCACTTAGAATGGACATGTGATAAAGGTTCCAAGCCTAGTCAGTTACGTGCAAGGTTCCCATGGACAAGTGCCCACACGACACCCTGCTGCAAGGCATGCTACTATCCAATTGTTGACACTGCCTTAGAGCCCCATCCAACCCCATGCCACATGGAAATTCCTGAAGCTCTCTACAAAGTTGAGATGGCTGAAGTTTCACTCACCATCTTTGTGCGTAAAAATACTAGCTTGGAGGCTTTTCGTTTTTGGGTAGTTTTACTCTTGCATGACAATTGCTAGTAAGCTTTGCTTATAAGCCAAAACAGCTACACAGTTTAATCAAAATGGGGTTGGAAAGGCTACTCTTATTAAAAGCTACCTATGCTAGGAGCGAAAAAGGGACTGGTAAGCGTACTCCTATTACATGCTGCCTAAGCCAGGAACAAACCAAAAAGGTGGGCGATTGCACCAATAAGTTTTTGCACCTTGTGGACAATTTGTGACACTTTTGTACTTGTTTCTTTGACATCCTTATCGAAGTCTTTGGGAATTCTGTATCTTTTCATATGCTGCATCTTCAATCCTCTATCTGCTGCAACACACCCTCTGACTCCTAATTGGTCTCTCAACACTATTGTAAGTAGTCAAACTTTGATCCTTTAATGATGCTTTAACTTATCGATGACTCTGGTGGTGTGCGGTTGTTCATGTTGTGCTGAAATTTGTGGATCCTTTAGTGAAGGAAAATGGCCTTCATGATTGCGTGCTAGTCCCTTGTACGTCTTGCATGGATTGAACAAGGTGAATGCTTATTGGAGCTTTATTAGCATGGCTTCATGTTTTGGGGCCTTCTCTACAAAATTTGCTCAATGATTTCTCCTTCACTTATTCATCATGTCTAAGTAGGTGTGTATCACCTTCACTTTTTTGTCACTGTATTGCGAGATGAAGCAAACAAGTAGCTTTGGTAGAATTGATCACCAACTGATGAGCATTTGATGACCACTTTCTTTTAACTACAAACGGACTTTCATCTATTGTAGAGCTTCTTTGCGAATAACTAGGAGACATGGCTTTCTTAACTTCGCCCTGTCTCATGGTTTGAGGAGATCAGAGTTGCATTACTTGACCCCGACCCTTGATGCGCAGTCCATGGCTTAAACTAGGTTAGTTGACTTTGCAAACTCTTTGCGTTGCACTCTTAGAGTGCAAGAAGTGTTGTTGTTGAAAGAGCAAAATTTTGTCCTCACTCAAAAGAGTTTCTGATTGATTTTGTCATTCCTTTGGGGTTGTACCCCTTTCATGAGTTCACTGCCTACTCCTTTAAGAAGATCAGGAAACGACGTTGCATATTGCTTGTTCCCTGGTTGACCACCCTCACATTGATTGAATTCCATTACTTTTGACTATCTCGATTAAAACCCCTTCTACATATGCCTCATGAAGTCCTTTGTTGTCCACATTCTATAGCATTGGCCCTAATTTTTGACCAGTGCACTCTCTCCCTTGAGAGCAAGGATAGGTGACTATCCATAAGTCTTGCCTTGGTAGTATCGTGGACCTACGTCAGGCTCACGACCCTCCTATGTATCGCTATGGATCCCATCACTTTGTTTTGCCATCGAGAGATAACACTTTTGTGTTCTCAAAGTAATTCCCTTCTAATTGATAGAATAGAACAACAAATTGTACTCCCACACATAGCCTTTGCCATCATGTTGTGGGGCACATATCAACTCGATGCTCCGCTATGTTATCACTTGCTCAACCTTTTCCTCTAATAGAGCTAGGGCTCCCATAAACAAATGTGAGCTCTAGAATAGTCCATTCAATAGCTTCAAACATACCTCTATATTATCAAGTCCCTCTTGAAACTTTTGGCATATACTTAGAAGATTTACCTCTATGGTACCCTACCCTCAATGTTCACGACCTTCATCCAATGCAAATTCTTTGCATGCATGGAAGACCCGGTGGTACCATGGACTCACTCTGAGTCATAGTCTTTCTTGCTGTCATGGTGCCCACCAATAGCTCCTAGAAGCCCCCAACCATCCCTTTGTTTAAGTAAATCCCTCACGGGATTTTTGGTATGCATTGCCTCCAAGTGACGTGTGGATTTTTGGTGTGAAGTTTAGGGGTTTTGTCACTTACACTTTTTGTTCGCTTCCTTAGCAATCAACACTCATTCATTAATCTATCGTTATAGCATCTTGACCGCCTACGATCGAAGTTCAACTTTGGGTTAGTCCATCATCCATCAGCTCTTGAAGCTCCTCTAAACTTTGATGGATCAGTGTGCACTTGTCTTGATCCTAGGCCTTTGGCCTAGCACAATCTTTGTTGTGCACCATTTCCATGTGGAAATCCCTTTATGATAACTCGAATGGAAGCACTATGGTGTATTTTTCACAAGTAAGTCAAGTCTTCATGCCTTTGTTCCTTTATCAATCACATTGTTGAGTTTAGGTGTATGTACTTGGAAGCTCCTTTCTACCATGGTACCATGCAAGTTGAATTATCCCTCATTAGAAAGAGGGAATAAAGGAATGACATGGTTTTGCTCTTGCCTTTACAAGGGTTTATGTTCTTGATCTTCAACCAAGGGAAGTGTCAAGTTGGTACTTCCGCCCCATGTTTTGCCTTTTAAGTAGACTCCTTTATGTCGCTCGGTTTCTTGACCAAGTCTAATGTAAGTTGTTTTACCTCTTGATTTGGATTTAAATAATGATGTCTTGAAATATACATCATTGCACGAGTTAGCTCGACATAGGAGTTTCCCAAAACTTTGAATCAAGAGAAGTCAAGGTAGTCACACTAGTTTCTTAGCTTTCCAATAAATCAGAAGTCTAATACTCTCTCCTTAATTTTGAGATGAATTTCGAGACATTTCTGACATGAATTATACGCCATTGGAAATATAATTTGATTTGAAGTTTTTTAGATAAAGTTATGCTCAATTCTCTCTGCAAAGGTCATGATGATTGCTCTTCAAGATTGGAAGAAAGTTTTTCTTATCTTTTAGAGTTCCTAGATGGCTTTTGGTTATTTATAAGTCTTAATTAGTTTTCATTTATTTTAAATCTTAAAAAA